AAAGAATTCCATTACATTTCTATCATGAAGAATAATCATTATTAGCTTTAAAAGACCCTTTGCTTCTACATTGTCAGCAGGTGAAAATATTAGCTTTACTAGCTTTCCACTGTAAAATTAACACATAAAATCCATCCAAACAAAAATTATTTAAAGATAGTCACTAATGACAAAGAAAGGCAGAGGGGCCTAATTAGAAGAAATAATCAATTTTGACAAATTACAGATGCACAAGACCCTTAAACAATCTTACCCATTACTCTGAGGTTAAAAGAAAACTGAATCAGAATTTGCTTATTAAAAAAGGAAGATTCAACTAACTTTCTCAACCTGGAGTGTTTCTTCTAACTACATCTTTTAAGTCTGTCCATGTTCTAGATTTAGTGCTGAGTGTCCAATAAAAGTTTCTGCATTGATGATAATATTCAGTATTGGTGATACCCAATATGGTAGCCACTGGCCACAAAAACACTAAAAATGTGGCTACTGAGATTGAGGAAGTGAATTTTAAATTTAATTTTTTTCAGCTTTAATGATATAATTGACATACAATAACTTAAGATGTATAATGTACTGATTTGATTCACTTATACAGTGAAATGATTTCCACTGTAACATCAGTTAACACTGCCCTCACCTCACTTAGTTACTTTTTTTTTTTTTTTTTTTTGCAGTGAGAACCTTTAAGATCGACTTTCTTAGCAACTTTCATGTATATAATACAGTATGGTTAATTATGATCACCATGCTGTAACTTAGATCCCCAGAACTTACTCATGTTGTAACTAGAAATGTCTACTCTTTGACCAACATTTTCCCATTTCCCTCAATCCTTGCCTCAACCACCATTCTACTCTCTATCTCTATGAGTTTGGCTTTTTTGGATTCTACATGTAAGTGACATTATACAGTCTTTGTCTTTCTCTTTCTGATTTACGTCATTTAGCATAATGCCCTCAGGGTCCATCCATGTTGTAAGTGGAAGAATGTCCTTCTTTCTCATGGCTGAATAATATTCCATAGTACACATATACCACATCTTCCTTATCCATTTGTTCACAAACACTTTTTTCCATAAGTTATTTCTACAGTTATTTCCATATCTTGACTATTGAGAATAATACTGCAATGAACAACGGAGTGCAGATATCTCTTTGAAATCCTGATTAATTTCCTCTGGATATATGTCTAGAAGTAAAATTGCTGGATCATATGGTAGTTTAACTTTTTAAAAAAAAATTTTGAGAAACATCCATACTGTTTTACACAGAGGCTGTACCAATTTACATTCCCACCAAAAGTGCACAAGGGTTCCCTTTTCTCCACAACCTCACCAACACTTAACTCTTGCCTTTTTGAGATAGTAATTCTGATAGGAGTGAAGTGAAATTTCATTGAGGATTTGACTTGCATTTCCCTAGAGCTTAGTGATGTTCAGCCCCTTTTCATGTATCTGTTGGTCATTTGTATGTCTTCTTTGGAAAAATGTCCGTTCAGTTCCTCTGCCCATTTTTAAATTGTATTGCTTGTTTTTGCTATAGAATGAGTTCCTTATGCATTTTGGATATTAACCCTTTATTCGACACACAATTTGCACATATTTGCTCCCACTCTGTAAGTTGCCTTTTAATTTTGTTTCTTTTCTTGTGCAGAAGCACTTTAGTTTGATGTAGTCCTGCTTGTCTTTGCTTTTGCTGCTTGCACTTTTAGTATCATATTCAAAAATTATTGCTAAGACCAATGTCAAAAAGCCCTTTCTATATATAAGATCATATCATCTGCAAATAAAGATGTCACTTCATCTTTTCTGATCTGAATGTATTTTATTTCTTTTTCTTGCTTAATCACTCTATCTCATAGGGTGAGAGCGGGCACCCTTGTTTACTTTCCAATATTAAGAGGAAAAGTTTTCAAGCTTTCATTGTTGAATATGATGTTAGCTGTGGGCTTCTCATATATGGACTTTATTATGTTAGGATATACCGAATTTGTTGAAAAATTTACCATAAAGGACAGTTGCATTTTGTAGAATGCTTTTTCTGCATCTATTGAGGTGATCACATGATATTTACCTTTCATTCTATTAATTTGATCTAGCACTTTTTTACTGATTTCTATACTTTGTATTCCAGGGATAAATTCTATTTGATCATGATGTATAATCTTTTTTATGTGCTGTAGAAAGTTAGTGTGTTAACGTTTTGCTGAGAATTTCATGCACAAACATCTAATGCATCTACATTCACCAGGGATACTGGGCCATGGATTATTGTATTGTCCTTATCTGGCTCTGGTATCACGATTAAGTTGTCCTTGCAAAATAAGTATTCCCTCTGCTTCAATTTTTTTAAAGAGTTTAAGACTTTTTTTTAATGTTCCGTAGACATTACTTGAGAAACCATCTGACCCTGAGCTTTTCTTTGTTGGGAGGTTTTTGATTACTGATTCAATCTCTTTAACCATTACTGTTTTGTTTAAATTTTCTATGTCTTCATGATTCATTTTTGGTAGTTTCTATGTTTCTAGGAATTTATCCATTTCTTCTAGGTTACCCAAATTGTTAGCATATAATCATTGATAGTAGTCTCTTATGATCCTTTGTAGTTTCTATGGTATCAGTTATAATGTTTCCTCTTTCATTTCTGATTTCAGTCTTTTTTCCTTTGCTTTGGTAGAGGCTTGTTAATTTTCTTTCCAAAAACACAGTTCTCAGTTTTCTTGATATTTTCTATGTTTTTCCTGGTATACATTTCACTTAATTCTGCTCTGATCTTTATTTCCTTCCTTCTGCTAATTTTGGGTTTAGTTTATTCTTTTTTTCCTAGTTCCTTGAGGTATAAAGTCAGGTTGTTCACTTGAGTTCTTTCTTTTGTCTTAATGCAGGCATTTATCACTACAAACTTCCCTCTTAGAAATCCTTTTGATGCATTCCATGTTACAGTATTATTCTATATTTGACTATATACTTTACTAATGTGTTGCATATTTTCATTTGTTTTCATTTTACTAATTAGCATCCTTCCTTTTCAGCTGGAAGCAGTCCTTTTGGCACTTCTTTTTTTTTAATTTTTGTTTTTTATTGTTCCAATACATTTGCCTCCATTTTCCTGCTACCACTTTCCCCTGCCCCACCCACCGACCTTTTGTCATTTCTTATAAGATAGAGCTAATGGACCCCCTCAACTTTTGTATGTCTAAGAAAGTCTTCCTCTCCTTCATTTCTGAAGGATAACTTCACTGGAAAGAGTATTCTTGGCTGCAGTTTTATTTCTTTTAGCAATTTGGACAGGTCATTCCATTCTCTCCTGCTCTCTAAGGTTCTGTTGAGAAACACATTGATAAACTTATGGGGGTCTCCTTGTAAATTAGAAGCTTATTTTATTTTTCTGCTTTTAAGATTCTTTCTGATTTTTGACATGTTTATTACAATGTGTCTCGGAAAAGATACCTTTGAACTGAATTTGTTTGGTAATCTATGAGCTTCATGAACTTAGATAACCCAATTCTCTCCCCAGTCTGGGTAAGTTCTCAGTCATTACTTCTTTAAATATTCTTTCTGTGCCCTTCTCCCTCTGTTCTCATTCTGAAACTCCAATAGTCAACAAACCATTTCATTTAATGGTCCCATACATCACACAGGCTTTCTTCAATTTTTCCATGCTTCTTTCTTTGTTCTCCTCTGACAGGATATCAAACTTCCTATCTTCTAATGCACCAGTTTTTTCTTCTGCTTGATTCATTCTGATGTTGATGTCTCCATTGTATTTTTCATTTCATTCATTGTATTTCTTTGCCCCAGAATTTGTTTGGTTCTTTTTTATTATCTCTATATCTTTGTTAAACTTCTCCTTTTGTTTGTCTGTTGTTTTCTAATTTCATTGAACTGTCTTTTGTGTTTTCTTTTAGCTGATTAAATTTCCTCCAGTAATCTCCTCCAATTTTTACTAACTGACCTCCCCAATGCATCCAAACTCATGCTTTTTTCTTTTTCCTCCAATAGTATGCTAGAACTTTGCTGCTGGAAACCTGGGCTTCCATTAAGGATATTTTGTCCAGGGGCAATTGTCTGAGACAATGATTTTCAACAGGCATGCCAGAAGAATTTTTAAAATATGCAACACCTGACTATTTAGTCAGGGGCACTGACCTCTTTTCCCTTAGACTGTCAAATAAAAAAATGGCAACAACAATACAACAATAGCTACCCAGTGTGAATGAATAAAAATTATACCTATTTTTTGTCCAATTAGCAAAAAACTTATTTTTGGCGTGCCATGAGAATTTTAGTAGTTAGTTTACATGTGCCATGAGATGAAAAAGGTTGAAAACCACTGGCCTAAGACAGTGTTTTTCAGATGCTCACAAACGACAGCCCAGAGGGCTGGAGCCATTTCACAGACCACTACAGGGTCCACAGCCAGGACCAAGGTCTGTATGCTTCGTAGCTGATGCATAGGTGGGCAAGACTCTTCCATGTCCCAGGCATATGGTGCTGGATCCCAGAGCTTACACAAAGGCATTTTTGTCCATGAATGGATGCAAATTGCTATTGGCAGTCGGGCATAAATGAGGGACATCTTATTCAGCCATGATACTGTCATCTAATTTTAAATCTAGTCACATTAAGCTAGTGACCTCCATAGTATACAACACAGTTCTAAAAGATTTATTAAACATACAGTTGTATGTGAACCACAGTTTAGTCCTATATTATTTATTAATTATTGTAATATTTACCATATGAACAACTGTAAACCTGCTTTTGCCAACCCTGTATGTTGTTTTAGGGGAACTTACTTGTAAAACTAAAATGAAAAGAAGCTTAAAAATTACTTTCAGATATTCAATTAATAACAGTAAATTACAACTAAACAAAAAAGAACAATTCTGGCATAAAATGTCACAGTTGTGATCCAACACCTTGTTTTCCTCCATAAAGCAGTTACTAGAACTCATTAAAGAAATCTTCTCAACCTTTCAAGATAAATACCACCACATACCAGGGTTCCATTTATGTCCTGAGTCAGATTCTTCATCTCCCCCACAATGAAAGCAACCAGGTAAGTGCTCATCTTCACACTTTCAAAAAACTCATCCTGAACAAATCCATCTTTCATAGTGACTGATGACTTCTACAAGCAAAGGGGAAAAGATGACAATTCTATAATTATGGGAATAAATGACAGTGACAAACTGAGAAACTGAAAATTCAATAGGAAATAAGTAGTAAAGATGTTGGCATGTTTTAATCTCTCAGCATTAGTTTCTAAACAGACCATGGCCCTTAGTCTCAGTCTGTTCTACTATTCTTCATCATAAGGATCTATCAATTACAGTGAAAATCCTTAAAGAGTTTTTAGTTTCAAAAGATGGCTTTAGGTAAACATAAGTTAGAGATAATAAGAAACATTGGCTCTGTTTCTCCCCTTTAAAACACCACCAAAACCAAAGTCCTCTCTTATGATCTAACAGTGCTCCTCTGTACTTCTACAGATATACTCACAGAAGGAGCTAAAGCTGGGATATCATGCCAAATGATGTGAAATGGCTTCAGAAGGTAACATGTTGTGACCCCAAGGTTTAACGGGATCCAAGTCGTTAGAGAAGTCTGTAGTAGACACAAGATAAGGGAATGCAGGCAATCTTACAGGATTTTCTGACCATGGATTTCGATGTGATTTAGGATACAAGGCATTCTATCTCTTTCAGGGAAAGATTAAGGTAAAGAGTATGGCTGGGAGTAGAGCTGTTGAAGTATGTCCCTGTTAAAGGACAGATCTTGTCCTCTCTTGCCTGCAAGCGTTCGCTCCACAGTCCGTTGAACGTGGCTGCTCCTTTCCCCTAGACACGTGGGATCTGAGAGGCTCCCATCAGGCTGCACACAGCCCCTCAGGTGTCAACAAAAGGACCCCCTAAGCTCTGTTTAGCATAGAAACAATTCTGCTTGGTTCCACACTCACTGTCTCCCATGCAGAGCTCACAAGCCAAGATTTTTAAATAACCAATAAAATGCCAAGGTCAATAATGACTCATCACTCTCCAGTGTTTAGAATAGCAAATTCACCATATCTCAGAAAATATCACTCTGATTTTCAGTACTTGTTCATAGTATTAATATTTTGTACATCTTTAGTGCACAGCACACACTTCATGTTTCCTGCCCTCACATTCCACGCTCAGCAGGTCTTTCTCTTTCCTCAGCTCCTCAGGCTGACTTCCCAGTATATTCCAATGTATGTTGTAACTTTTATTTATGTATTTTAAGAAAGAATAAGAATGCATAAGACTTTACTCATTCTCAACAATATGGCAAAGAGGAGTTCAAGTCTTCGCAACAAAGAAAGAGACCCACTGAAAGAGTTTATAATCAAGGATCAGAATAGTACCTTAGGCATATTTGATAAAGCAGTGTATCGCTTCTCTCTCATGATCCTGACGATAAATGTGGCTTTAAATGCTGGTTCATCAAAACAAGGAAAAGCAGATCTTGCTGCCAGGGGTTCAAACTGAGTTGCTGCAAAGTACCTAAAACCAATGCAAATTCATCCAATAGTTATTGAGTACCTAGTAAATAACAGTTTGTTATCGAGAACCTAAGTCTATCATCAAAAATTTTCTAGACTTACTAACCATCTTTACCTGTTAGATGACATCAGTAACTTCTCCTTACTACAAGCAATGTCAGTACATGTTTGGAATTTACATATATTCTGATTTTCCAATCAGTAAACAATATATCCCTTAATCACTTTACCTACTTGTTTGAATATTTATTCTTATTACACCTCCAAGGGGGAAAAAGTACAAAAACTTCTATGATAACTAAGCAAAATTACAAGTGGCAAAAAGACCAAAAAATTGCTCTGAATTATAGTTTTCAAACATCTTCAAAGGTATAAATAATCTTCTAAACTTTTATTTTCCATGAATATACACATTCTTGTGAGGTACTCGTTTTACCTAACCAAGTAAGTTAATGAATTTATATATAGTTTTTAACAGCAAGGTTTCACAAATTTATTTTAAGGTTTTAAAATAATGTTTTTTAATGCTCTATTTCTTAATTTTAAAGAACTGTCTTCCATTTTTCTAGCATTTTTCACAACTCAATCCAGACTATGGCAGGAGTCGACAAGTGACCATACCAAAAATCACCTTATCTGCCACATAATATTTTTCCTCCCATTATATAGTAGCAGGCACAAGGGACTCCAAGGGCAATAATCTGATTGGAAGGTATGACAAAGGATTTGTCTCAACCGTTTATTTGCATACTAAAAAATATTGTTTTTATGTATATTCTGTAATTCCTAGAGATGATAGAGATTATAAAAGGAGAAGTAAAGCCAAGCAGTCCAAGCTACCACTGCAATTGTAAATTCACTTTTAATGTCAGATCTCATGAAGAGCCAGTATTCCATTTATTTTTCAAGCATTATATAAAGAGAAAAGAGAAGTACTTATCTAAATAGAACCACAGATCCTGCTTTTGTCTTTCCATTTAAGAAGGATCAAAAAAACTTCCTCAAATAGATTCAAAATACTCATTTCTATTTTTCTCAATATACCAATAGCCAAATGGCATCAGTAATTCACATACTGGTTTACAAAGGAATATGAGAGAATACTGCAACTGCATTAGGCAGATCTAACGAGGACTTTGTGTACACAAGAGAATTAACATTCTTGTTACTTAAGAATGACCTGTATGCAGTAGGCATTGCATCTTTGTGGAAATTCAAACTACATGCTATAAATACTAAGATTAAACTGCAAAATATATGGTCTAAATAGGGAGCTGAATAGCTTTACGTCTTGAGTCACTCTTTGTCAAAAATAAATTGTCTCTTCTAGATTTTTAAAAAATCTTTCCATCAAAAATTCAAAATAGTCAGTGGCATCTAAAAAAATAAACCAGCCAAAATTAAGGTTACTAAACATGATTTATGTAAGCCTACAACACTTCTTAACACCTTCTTTCTTATCTCACTAAGCACCTCATAAATGCTCCACACATTAGAAAAATAGGTCTTAAAGAATAATCCATACTCAGCTTCTCATAGAAATCCTGTATGGTGACAGAAAACTGGATTCATCTTAGACAAAATTTCTAGCTATTTCCTTCCATCAGCATGTCCCTACCCCTGCCATGATACATGCTCAAGGTTTTGACTAAGAGAGAAATAGTACATTCTTCCAAATCAACATTCTACACTTTCATACATAACATCCTAAAATTTAAAGAATTGCAGTTAATATCTCTTGTGTGGTCAAAGAAGTCCACATCACAGAAGTTGTCACAGAGCAAAGAAACAGAACCATTTAAGAGGGCTACATACTTTTTCTCATTACTTTCATCTGTGTAGGAGAAACCATAAAACCCATAGTAAGAACTAGATATATTTGCCGAGTACTCTATCTTCAAGGTATAATTGTGGCCCCCAAGAAGGGTTTCAGGGGCAACAATGGCGATTTGTTCATGAAATGGATATTCCAGGACCTCAACCTGTTTTTCTTGGCTTGAAACTGCTGACATAAAGGTCACTCTTGAAATATTATGGCCTGTGCTGTGAAGAATGATATTCCACGTGGCCTGAAGAGCCTGAAGTGAAATTGTCACAGAACCCCTGAATGTCATTGAGGTCAGGTTTGGGTGCAGGTTAAGTTCATAGCGTAGTGGCATAATGGCAGTGGGAAGCCTGACTTGTGCCCATGGAAATAACTTCCCATTTGTTGCAACTGGCTGAATTAGTCCCATTGATTGGTTTTTCTTGTGGCAGCCTTCTTTGGTAAAGGTACATCTGGGCAGTAGATAAATCACCATGATTACAGAAACGGCAACCAGAATGATAAAAGCACAGACCACCATGGTCCTCGCAGAGGGTACTGAACAAGTCCCATCTGGGCTCTGCCTGTAGCCGGTTGCACTGGTCCGAAGGCCTGAGCTTCTGTTCATGAAGGACATGCCCAGCAGCTTTGCAGACGACTCACAATCCTCTTCATCCTCATCCATCTCATGCTCGCCAAGACCCCGCACCAGCAGTCGTGAACCCCGGGGTTCATATTCCACCTCGTCAGGTTCTAAGGGATGTAAACAAGGCTCTTTGGCTAAATCCACCACATCTGGCTCTTCCTCAAACATGCTGTTTTCAATCATATTCCTGGGGAGCGGAAGCCGATCTAAAAAAACAAAACAAAACATAAGGACAATGCAGAGTTAGGAAGAAAAGCTCATAATGAATGTCTACTAGCAAGACCACATTTAATCTAAGAATTTTTATCACTAAGACTTACTTCCATCCCAGAGCTACTAAGCTAAATAAGATGCTATAGTTTTCTTGTATCCATTAAAAACTCAGGCATAAACAAATGTATATACTGCAGTCATGAAACAAGAAAGCTAAGTAAATGGGCTAGTATTAAAAAAAAAAGGTAAGAGATTAAATAATAAGTTGCGTAATATGCTCCTGCCCGACAACCCGGACAATCGTCCTGGGCTTTGGAGAGCCCTGCTTTGGCCTGCCTGTCTGTACCTTTCCCCACTGGGTGAGGAGTCAGTAAGACCAAAGAGATGGGCCCACCGATGGTGGGCACACCAACGGTCCAGGTCCCCCTGCTGGGGTCTGACACCAGAACCCTAGGTTTAAAAGAATTTCTGCTGCTGGGGCCTCTGTGGGGCTCTCCTCTGAGTCCCATTCTCCCAAAGGAGAATCCCAAACTGGTCTGACCTTTACAGGCTTGCACTATGGCTAAGCAACAGGCTGAGTTATTTTTCCCCCTGGAAGAGGGATGTTCCTGTTCCACAGCAAACTGAAAGTGGCAAATTATAGAGAAAATGTCCATAGTTAAGAAATACTAAAAATAAGACAAATGAATTGTGAAAATCAGGTAAAGCTACAATCCAACTTGTTTTTCTCATGCTTCCAGAACGTTCAGAAGTACAACATAAACTCCTCTCTAACAACTGTATTACTTACATTACACCGTGAATATAAGTGGATCTTAGGACTGGGTAGTGGTGGTGGGAGCTTTTATAAACTACAAAAAACCACACCCTCCAACCTGCTAAGAGTCTCTAAGAATAAAAGACTCAAAAAGTAGACAGGCCAATAATCACACACAGATCAATAATTCCTAAAGTCAGATCATTCAATGTTTTTTTATTTAAAGAATCACATATTTTTAGCTTTTAAGGGAGCTCAAAAGTTTGATCCTTGAAATCTCCATTTACCTTCCCCTACAAGGTACTTTATATGTATCATTTCTAATCCTCACAACAATTCTATAAAATGGCAAGTATTATAACTATTTCAGAGGAGAGAAAAAGAAACAGAAAGAGGGGTTAATTTATCTTCATAAAGTCACAGCTATTCAGCCATAAAACTGAAACTGGAGCTCAGTTTTAAAAATGTTATCAAATTTAGATTCTTTCCATTATTATGTTGCATTCTCCTACTCAACTAATTCAATACAGGATGAGAGCTTGTATCTAAATTATTTATCTCTTTCGCACTTGGCAATGAAGTTGCTAAGAGTATTATTTCTCTATCAGCAAGGCAAAACTGACCTAAAATTACTTAATAGCTAGCATAACAGAAATGCCATGTATCTTGTGCTATTCAACAAACACTTAATAACTAAATAGTGACAACTCAATCCATGAAACAAAGTATTGATAAATATTAAGATAAAATTTATAGTCTTGCTACTCCAACTGTGGTCTGTGGACCAGAGCATCTGCAACACATTGTAACTTCTTGGAAAAGCAGACTCTCAAGTCCCTTCCCTGAATTTGAATTTTAACAAATCCTCAGGTGATTTATGTTTCCCAAAGTTTGAGCAGCACTGTGTTAAGCCTCCTCCACGATCGGCTTCACACCAGACATGCCACCTCTGCCCTTGCTCCAGCACCGCCCCCTGCTTCCTACTCCGAGAGCACTGCTATTTCACGTTAGCCTCCACACGCCTCCTCTCCTCTGCTCCCTTGCCCTGCCATGTCGCCATTTCTCCCTTCCACCCCGGCCCGCTTGGTGAACATGTTATTACGTAACTCAGCTTAACTTGCTACAATGCAAATGAAGAAAATTTCTTTTCTTTTCTTTTATTACCTTTTAAAAATCCATTTTCTTTCACTTTAGCTCATCCCTTTTTTTGATTTGGGGAGAGCAGAGACTCCAGTTAGGTTGTCTTCTCCTATCTCCTCTCTATCCTGAACTTCATAAAAGCTATGCTTGTTTAAAGTTTTCCTTGAATAAAACTTTTAATCACTTTCTAGGTGTGGGTTTAGCCAGGTTGCCAACTCTCCGTCTTGGAAATGGAAGAAGGGTGGCAGTTACGACATCCTGCTTTGGGAATTTAGTCTCCTAAACCTCCTATAGTGCCCCAACTTCTTGTGATAATATTTTGTTTTTATAGTTAATTGTGTTTGGGAGTCATTTACTTAATTGAGCAAATTCTGCTGTAATTGAATTTAAAAAATTTAACTCTTAATGAATACTTAATGGTTAGAAATTTTCTCTCTGTTACTTTTTTAGTATCTGGCAGTGATGCCGATTAGTTGTTTAATTTGCTTTCTCATTTAAAAATGTCTAAAAGATCTTTTATGACTTTTTAAAAATCTCATATGGGGAAATTATGTTCTCTTAGGCATTTGCCCATATGTTTTGTTCTGTGTCAGACCCGATATAGACAATATAGGGGCCTGGGCAGTACAGTTTTATTTAATACATTTCTAAACTAACTCCAGGCATGATTCGGCTTAATATTTATTGACGGCATTTCCATCTCTGAATTCATCTCTCTCTCTCTCTCGAACTTCATTTCTGTGCTTTTGGATTCCTAAGCCATGCCCGGTTGAAAGCCAAGGGATAAACCACCGTCTGAGCATTTCAGCATCTCCTGCCTGCAACTGATTAACTTCAAATCTTTGACAAGGGCTTAGTCAGATGCCTGTCAAAATCCAGATAACTGTTATTTTTCACTCAGATTAATACATATATAGAATTTTAATCTTTCACAAATTAAACATATCAACCAATCTGCTCCATCTTACTGCACATTAGAAACAAATTTTTGTATGTGTGTGCCACCATATCAAATATATCTAACCAGGGAAAATCACTTTCATTACAGGTAGCCCATGAAGACTATTTAAGAAAATGTCATTTTGGATTCTTAAGTCAGTGTACTTTGATCTTAGCATTAAATTGTAATGTGACACATGATTACCCCTTGCTCACATGGAATTTATTCATATTGAAAGAAGGATCCCAAAGAAACAGAAAATTTTCTAAAACCTCTTAAATCCACATATACAAACTACTTATAACCCAAAAGCAAAGAATGTCCTAGTTAAAATATCTCAGTTTTAAATAACAGGCCCGTGTGGTTATACTCTGAGAAAATCTGAAGACATTTCATTTCATCAGATACCATGAACCTCAATGTTGTCTACAGACAATGCCAATCCCCAAACTGTTTGTTACCTGTCTGTGACAAAATAGATGTAGAAAATTAGTATTTGAAAACTAAAGTAGAAATTTCACAGTAATTTTATGTCTATTGAATTTAAAACAGCACATAACATTTTGTCTTCTTTTCATTTGTTTTCCAATGATTCACTTTTACATTCCTACAACACTCCTGCAACATATTAAAAATTAAAAACCTTAATTCTTCATCTCAGATAATATAAGAAGCAATGGGTTGGATTGTCACAATAGTGGCAATCCAGGTCGACATAAAGTTCTCAACTGTCACAGTAGCAATAGGAGTAAAAAGGAGGGAATGAGTACAAGTCACGTTAAAGAAGGAGAATATACAGAAACCATTTGATGCCAGCTTGGGCTGGATGGGCCTGTAGGGTGGAGAGACAGGGGAAGTATAGCAGGAAGTCTATGTGAATTCTCTAAACAATTCTGGCTTGAATAAGTAAACGAAGGAATGCCATTCATTGAGATTGAGAATACAGGTTTTCATGTTATCTTTCTTGTTTTACTTCGGGAGGGCATAGGGAGAATGGAGTTATGAGATGGCATTTGGTGTGGGACATGATATATCTACTATCTGTAAGCCAGATGAAGGTATTTGACTAATAGTAATGTGGAAAATATTACTATTTTGCAGGAGAGTTATAAGGATTATATTATGTGGGTCTGAACTCAAAAGAGGGATATGGGTGAAAGATTCAGATTTTGGAATTTTCATGTAATTTTAATTACATGATAACTAAAATTATACTGATCGGTGTGACAACGTGGGAGATAAGAGTCAGAAAGCATCAGCATTAAAGAGGTGTGCAGAGGGGGAGGGGTGGCAACGAAGAATGAACAGAATGTATCAGAGGAAGAAAAATCAGGGACAGTAACATCCCAGAAAGCAAAAGGAGATTTTCAAGAAGGATGTGGTCAGCATTAATGTCTTAGAATTTCCAACTGGTGTGCTGCAAGAGTTTTTAAAACATGCCATACCAGACTAATGCAGGGGTACTGACCTCTTTTCCCTTAGATTGTCAAACAAGAAAAATGACAACAGCCAACACAACAGCAGCCATCCAGTGTGAATGCATAAAAATTATGCCTACTTTTTCCTGTCAGATCGACAAAAAATATATTTTTTGGTGTGCTACAGAACATTAGTAATTAGTCTATGTGTGCTATGAGAGGAAAAATGTTGAAAATTGTCGTCTCTGAAGGTCAAGCAAATGAAGCCTAAAGGGGCCACTAGATTTGACAACCAGGGAACCAGTGACTTTTTATGAAGCACATTCAATGGGGTAATGAGAACAGAAGCCTGACTTCAGTGACCCAAAGGAAAACTGGAAAGTTAACAAGGGAAGACAAGGGCTACAGACATATTCTTTCAAGGTATGTAGTTGTGTATCAAAAGAAAAGCATAGGATCAAACTGAAAGAAAACATGGCATAGTGAAGAGTCAAATCCTTTTTTTTTTTTGTCTGTGTTTAAGATGAGAACAACTTAAGCATGTATTTACGTGTAGAAGGAAAACAACAACAAAACAGGGAGGTGAAGAAGTAGACCAGAGGAAATGCTGTATCTCAGAGGGACAGGGAGGTATCACAGGAACTCCAATAGAGAAACTAACCTTTGCAAGATCTAGGCACTCCCCCCCGCCACCCCCAAGCCTGGAAGAACAGGAGGAGAAGACAGAGAAGCATGTAT